CAAATACAACTCAGGCAAACAAAGTCACTAATCTATGGATAAAGGAGGATTAGAGAGGGGAAGTAAACATATGTTAGACTTTAACTAGAGATAATTAATTGTATGGATTACTGTACTAAACAGTAACCAAAGTTAAGCAGTAACCAAAGTTAACCAATGATGGAGGATAACTAAAAATGTATATAAATACAAGACTATACTCCAATAAAGATCATCATGACTCATGATCAAACAACTCGACTGCCTCATCATTACAACACAGAGCAGAAGTGCTGAAACTTTCTACTTAAATACAACAGTCACTAGAACAGAATATTACAATGGGCTTCAAAATGTACTACAGTTCATTATAGTTCAGCCCCAGGGAATGAGGAAGATAAATTATTGCTTTCTGTGATGAGGTAAGAAGTTTTATTATTGTGATTTGTACAATAACTCATTCACAGGATTATCCACACGGCATTTCTGGTCACTGGTTAAAGATTGTGATTGATTTGGATGAAAATACGTTGTTGAATCTACAGTGGTGCTTCCAACTCTCAGGTAATTGTGCCAATTCAGTTATACCCTACAGGGGTCCCCAACCTTGGCAACTTTAAGACTTGTGGACTTCAGCTTGGCTGGCTGAGGAATTCTGGGATTTGAAGTCCACAAGTCTTAAAGTTGCCAAGGTTGGAGACCCCTGCCCTATAATTCATTCATATTTTTGTGGATTTCTTTTGTTTTGCTTGTCTCTTAATGCAGTCACTCAGATCCAAGAAATTAGCTTGGACAATTTCGTATAGAAGAAAAGTCTCTTAATTTCAACTGGGGTTATTAAAGCTGAGCTGCAGAATCTGAATGGCGATTAAGTGGCAGGCAAGTTTTAAGAATTATCTATATATCTTTACTGATATATAATAATTGCCTAGATTTTAGCAGACAAGGTTGACTTTGTGTATCAGAAGGTTGCAAAAAGGATCCCGGGGACATTGCAGCCGTCATAAATATGAGTCAGTTGCCAAGTGTCCACATTTTTTTTTTGAAAGTTTTATTTGGGTTTTCACAAAAACAAAATACAAATAAAACATCTTTTCTGAAAATAGCATGGTCCCAGGTTACCACTTCTTCATACAGACACAAAACTCAATTTCATGCTCATTTTTATATTCTATTCCATATCTTATTACCGTTTTATATTTTCTACATAGTTTTTCCCCTCTTTTAATTTTCTCAACTTTATTTTAATTATCTCATCTCAATCAAATCATTATATTTATACTTTTGTCTGTCCTGTTTCAATTTCATATTATCTTTTCTTGTTAAACAAAATTTTCCCTGTAGTTACTAATTGGAGTATGACACCTTTATATCTTTTAATTTTATCCATTCAAACTCTTATTTAAGCTTCAATGTATACCTTTAAGATTATAGCATTCAATATAATACATAACTTCCAATCAAATTCTGCTTGGTACATTCTTAAAATACACACTATATTCTTAAAAAGAAAAAATTATATATATATGTAAATAAAGCACACATTCCATTCCAATTCAATTCTATCATTAATATTCATTAAAATCTTAACATCTTTAACATTTCTTTTCAATTAAATATCATACTTCCTTGGGAACACTTATAAACTTTCCATAGTTAATTCTTTTTTTTCCATATTTCTCACTTATATTTTTATAAATCATTACTAATAATTAAAAATGTTCCCATTTAATTCTCTCAATCATTTTAATTCATTTATTACCAAACATTCAACTACATTACAGTAAATATTTTATCCATCATTTTAATCATATTTTCTAAAATTATTTCTGTTTATAACAATGCTATCTTATGTACCTTTGCAGAATCCCTTTTGCAATTAAATTTTCACCCTTTATCTCTAAACAAGCTTATGGTTACAATCCTTATATCTTTTCCCTGTTTCTCCATTTCTGTCTTTTACAACTTCTTTTCCTTGCCTTCTTCCCCCTCTTCTTCTCCCTCCCCTTTTTATCCCCTCGTCTCTCTATTTCTAACTCTCTCATCTGTAATCCCCTCTTCTGTTGCTTTCTAATATTATACTTATCTTTCAAATTATTATTCTTCTGGTTTGAGCTTCCTCGGCGATAGACCAAAACCTTGTCTCTGCGAGGCTTCAATCCGTGCTCGCCGCTGGAGCACCCCGAGCTGGCTGGTTTCGGGGCTAAGCCACCCCGTAGAGGTGGTGAAGAAGGGGGAGACTGCCTGCAGGGTTGAGGAGAGCCGCATCTCTCCTCCCCAGCTGGCCATTACTCCCTTTCCCAAAGGCGGTTGTAGCGGTGGTCAGAAATGGCCACCACAAAGAAGAACTTGACCGGAAAAGAATGTGCAGGAGGAAAATAAGAAGAGAAAGTTTTGGTTGACCGGGTCAAACAGCAAAAGCAACAAATAAGGTACCCTGGAATTTAAATTTAATAACATTGTTCCCAAAGAAGATTTTGAAACTGCGAAGGAGAGAGAGAAGGGAAAGGATTAGGTTTTTTTTTCTTCCCTACCTTATACTGACAGCTAAGAGACTTAAGCACGAAATTGAAAAAAATCCACTTTGACATAAATAGGCATCTAAGCTGAAAATAAAAGTCAAAGGGATAATAAAGATTTCTGGATATTTAAAAGTTTTTAAAAGCAGGAAAGGAGAAAAAAAAAGAATAAAAGGGCAGGATTTGGAAAAATGGAGGAGACTGCCTGGAACTAAGGAATGGAACTGTAACTAAAAGGAACTTACAGTGAAATTTCAACAAAATTCCTCAAAGATACATCTTAATTGAAACTTGGTAACAAAATAATAGAACCCCAGGAAGAGAAAGTGGAAAAAAGAAGCAGAAAGAAACAGCCTTGGATTATTTGGATTACTTGGTGATTTTTGGTTTTTGCATCTGGATGACTAAAATTAACCAGGTGGTTGTTTAAAAGTCTTTAAAATGGTATCACTCTTAGAAGAACTGAAAATGGAACTTAAAAATGGAAAGTAGATGCACAAGAAGGGAGAGGTTCTTTTGGCTTCGTATTTCAATTCTTAGAAATGGAGATCTGGAACTATGAGAAACAACAAGAAATGCTTGCAGAACAAGAAGATTGGGACAAAGAAGAAGCCATCTTTAATGATCAAATAATTTTAAGTGGGAAAAAAGAAAAGGGGGGAAAGAGAGTGAAAGGTTTAAGACTAGAAAAAAACAACCAAAAAGACCAAGTGTCCACATTTTGATCACATGACCATGGAGGTTCTGCAACCGTGGTGTGAAAAACGGTCATAAATCACCTTTTATCAGTACTATTGTAACTTCAAATGGTCATTAAATGAACTGTTGTAAGTCAAGGACTACAGCGTTTGTATTTTTATTTCTGAAAGAGGCTGTAAAAGAAGCAAGGGGTTGTATCAAATTTGCAAAGTGGGGACACAAACTTTGCCAGAAATTTGCAGTCATGAAACGACTTAATAACATATGCCTCTAGATCAGGGGTCTCCAAACTCGACAGCTTTAAGACTTGTGGACTTCAACTCCCAGAATTCCTCCTCCAAGTCATGTTAGCTCAGGAATTCTGGGAGTTGAAGTCCACAATTCTTTAAACTGGCCAGGTTTGCTCTAAATAGCAATCGGGACAGTTATTAGCCCCCCCCCCCCCGAATTAACTTTGTTCAAGGGCTTTCTTTTTTCTTCCTTTCTTTCGAGTTAAACAAGGAATCCCAAAGATCAGGCAAAGAATTTATGCAGCACCCAGAACCTTTTTTCAAGTTTTTTCTGCGCTTATCACTGTAATATTTATGCCCAATGACTCTGGCACTTGATCCAGAGAAGGATCCCCCTTTGGGCCAAAGTTTGGGATAAGGTCAAAGTCCCGCGTTAGTAATCAAACAGATCCCCAAAGCTCTCTACGTAAAAAAGAAAACAAAACAAAGGTCTAAAAGCAGCCAATAGGAGAGGACGTTCTTTGCCCGAGTCTCCCTCCACCAATGGCAGCGCTGCAATTGACGGATCAGCCAATGGAGAGAGCCGAGAGCTATTCCTCCCCGCCCATCCCCTTCTCTGCTTATTCCGGCTTTTTGCCCGATGTTTTTTCCTCTCCGTTTCGGGGGTTTGTCTCGGCTGGTCCGGCGCGTCCCGGGACTTGGTGGGGCTTTTGCAGCGGGTCAGGGCGCCTGGTGCGAAGCGCAGAAGCGAAGCGGGCTCCAAGTCTCCCCGGTTCTCAGAAGGAGCAATGCATCCCTGAATGGGCGACCCTGGAAGCGACGGGCTTTCTTTGCATTAAACTCTCCCATCACCGGTCATCACCGGACGATCGATCGCGAGGGAGCCTCGATCTCATTTTTCCCCCCCTATGTCCGAAACTCTGGGATCGGTAGCAGCCCGAGCTGGCTGCGTGATCTCGGTGTCTCACTCCCGGGTCCCCCGCGGATCTTGCAGCGGCAGCGGCGTCCTCTTGAGTCGAGATCCCCCGGGCGTCGTCGTCGTCCTTTGCCCCGGGATCCTCTTCTCCCCTTTCCTTCTGGAAAGCGAGCGCCCCGATTGGTCTCAGGGCAAAGTCCTGCTCTCCGACCGCTTCTTCCCGGGCCTCCGGATCCAGGTGCTTCAAGCGACTGGGAGCAGCAACAGCAGCAGCCAAGCGGCCCGGGCTACTTGCCTGGCTGGAGACCTGGGGGGAAATAATAACCCAGGGCTAAGGTTTAACCCGCTTTCGAACCGACCTCAACCCCACCACGGTTGGAGGACCTGCGAGGCTGAGCTCCTGATGGTGGCCGCCTGCCCGCCGTTCCAGGAGGCCTTCTCCAAAATCTTCAGCGCTTCGGATCGGTGGCATTTTGGAGGGAATGACTTTGAGCAAGAAGTGGCCAACTCTTCGGAGCTCGAGGACTGGCGTGCCCTCCATTGGTTTGCTCTGCTGAGGATCCTGGAGCCGGCGGATTCCCTTGGGGCAAGTTGGGTGAGCTGCGTTCCAGCCAGATCCCTCAAGAAGGGGGATACTGTCTTCACCTGTGGCTCTCCTTTCGGCTCCTTGTGCCCGGAGATATTCATGAACACCCTCAGTAAGGGGATAGTCAGCAACCTGGCAGGAGCGAGCAATGCCCTCGTCTTGATTGACGCACGTTGCTTGCCTGGCACCGAAGGAGGAGGCGTCTTTGTCCTGTCAGGAATGGGCCCTCACCTGGTCGGAATCATCGTGGCTCCACTGTGCTGGAAATCCACCGAGTGGGTCGGCTTGACTCTGGTGTGTGCCGTTGACTCCATTCTGGAGAGCGTGGCCGGGGTCCTTTCTCGGTCTTGGGGTTTCCTGAAGCTCCCATTGCTCCCCACGGAACTTGTGACCAAGTCGCCTGCTGCGGTGGTACTCAGAAATGGACTGGACAGGCACCTGTTGGATGCTGTGGTTCTGGTAGAATGTGGACCCACCTGGGGGTCTGGGGTGATGATGAATTCAAGGCTGTTGTTAACCTGTCGGCATGTGGTCGGCGGAGCATCAAATGTCCGTATCAGGTTTCTAACCAGTCCTAACAGGTGAGTCTGAATTTTAATATTTGCTTATGCGTTGCTTTGTTCTCCTTGGGTGTCTCTGATGCAACCTGAACATGCTTACCTGAGCAGCGTAGGTGAAGTTTGGGAGAATGTAGGTGTGGCAGCCTTGGGGATATGAGCATACATCAGGGGTCTCCAAACTTGACAACTTTAAAACTTGTGAACTTCAACTCCCAGAATTCCTCAGCCAGCTTTTGAGGAATTCTGGGAGTTGAAGTCCACAAGGATTAAAGTTGCCAAGGTTGGAGACCTCTGGCATACATGATCTCATTCCCAGACTGAGGGAGTTTCAGCCTCCCCAGCAGTTTTTTTTAAAAAATAATATACATAACTTGCCAACTTTAAAGATTTAAGCGAATTGTAAGAACGACTTTAAAGATTCTGGATAGGTTCTAAGAAGGTAAAACAGGAATAGAAAAATATATGGATTAAAAACAACGGTAACAATAAACCAACCCTCTCCATACATGGACACCAATAAAAGTTTAGCAAGGTTTGTGTCAACTCATAAAATATTTCTATGGTCTTTTTAGAGTTGCCAGCAGAAAGGGAAGTGGGGGAGCAGTGGGCAGCTTGCCTTCCATAAATGTTTTCAAAGATAATAATTAGGTGAATGAGGTTTCTTCCACACAAAATTCTAACTGGAGAGTATAATTGATAACTCTTGGCTATGGATGTGTCCCATTGGAGAATATGAATTCCGATATACCCAGGGGGTGGGGGAAAACCAGGGTCAAGGGTGACAATGAATGATGTGTCTCAGAGTTGAGCCCTGACAGTTTGAAGGACCGATGAAACTTTATAAAGAGTTTCTAAAAATGTTTTGTTTTTTCTAAAAAAAAGTTTCTAAAAGTGAAGAGGAAGGGAACATTATGGACCTTTGCAAGTAAGAAATTCCAAACCAAGAGACTGTAGTTAAATACGGATTCTTGGAGAAGCAACGATTTGTGTGGAATTATGGTGGCTTTGGATTCCACCATATCCAAAGGTAGTCAGGTTGGAGATGACTATTTTAGAAGAACTGATAACTTGTGTAACTTGAATGGTGGTGGCGCAGTGGTTAAAATGCAGTATTGCAGGCTACTTCTACTGACTGCTATCTGACTGCAGTTCGGCAGTTCGAGTCTCACTGGCTCAAGGTTGACTCATCCTTCCGAAGTTGGTAAAATGAGGACCCGGATTGTTGGGGGGCAATATACTGATTTTATAAACCGCTTAGGACTATAAAGCACTGTGAGGCAGTATATAAGTCTAAGTACTTATTCCTATTGCTGATACACTGTAGTTCCCATTTTATGCATTGAATCATAAATTCAGAGAGCTCTGTTAGGAATCTGTACACCAATTAGTTGGGTTGGCAATATATAAACCAAAAATGTATGTTTGTAACTTTAAGAGAAAATCACTGTATTGATTTATACTGTATTCGGATTGGTTGATTATATTGCAAATTACCATAAGAAGGAGCTAGAGATCGTAGCTTGCTCTCTCTGACATTCTGTTGCTATCTAAGGTTCTCTGTTGTATTTATGCTGTGCTTATACTTTGATATCTTTGTTTACTGTAAATGACAAAGGCAACCGGTAAGAAGACTTTGTAATTGGATATTCTTTGGACTGTTAAACGTATATGACCTGGACCATTTATTGGACTGTGCTATTTCTTAAAGTAAACTTTAACTCAATTTAGTGTATCTGTGTGTGGCTGAATAATTATTCATAACTATTCTCATAAACTTTCCATGTGCATATCCTTGTTACTCAAGGGTTATTCTGTACATATAACAAGCTCGACCTGTAGAAAAGAAAACAGACGTATGAAAGTGAAAATCCATTCTAGACTAAAATTCTTGGGAATTACATTTGAATTTAAGTTGTGGTTTGCATCTTTTTTCAATGAAGGAATGCATTACAGTGCTCTTTAACCAACATGCGTAGCCATGTTGGGAGATACAGTGATAATCAAAACTACAGTATAAATATTAATAACTAATTGTGATGTAACAGGGAACATGGAGAAAAAAACGTATAGATTTTTTTTTCTGGGATGGGTAAGTATTTATGCAACCCTGAGCTTAGAAGTCATTTATATTGATCCCCCTGACTCCTTCCATTCTCTCTCCCCACCCTTCCCAATGCTCCCTAAAACAACTAACTAATGGCTTGGGAGAAAAAAAAAAAAGGAAAAATTTTCAGCATTAGCCCTTTGTTTCTTTTCAATATGTCACTTCCGGTTTTGCTCTCTTGTTTGTATCATTTCCTTCTCCGGAAATGTGTTAGAAAATGCAATGGAGAACTTACTGTAATCCAGAAAAGCCCACTAAGAGTAACGTGGGCGAGATCCTCATCCTTTGATCTTAGATTTGCCTTTTGATGCTTGTTCCCCTGAGTCTCTTTGATGTAATCCGAATATGCGATCATCCGAGCACCACAGATAAAGCTTGGGTATTTAACCAGTCTTGATGATGTGAACATGCACAATCTCATTCTCAAACTGGAGTTTCAGCCTCCCCAATTTTTCCCCAGGCAACATTATAAAGGCTGGCTGTAACACAGTTCAGTTGAGGAAGGACACACTGGTCTCTGGCCTATAGAGGTGCAGAAAAATGAAATGGATTTGAATCCTGGTTCTGGTGACTTCAGCACCCCTCAGTTTTACATCCCAGGAAGGCACGATCCCGCTCTCTTATAGAAAGTATCTGGCGCACATATAATACTTTGATTTGCTTCGACTGCAGTGATGTGCAAAACTTCCTGATGGATTTTGTTTTTGACCAGCTGAACGGTGCCAAATTAATGTTTTGCTTTCAGTCTCCTTCAAATATTGTTTTATTTTTCCCCCCTCCTAGAGATTCTGTAGTGAAAGGAAATGTAGTGTTTGCAACGAAGGACTCTTCTCCCTATGATATTGCATTGGTAGAGTTGGAAGAAGGTTTATCCACATTGCCAGACCTTCCTCTAGCATCAACGTTTCATCCAGGTGAGGAACAGAGTAATGCATCCAGGTTGGTGTCTCTTTTTTGTTATTTTTGTCTGTAAAGAAGAATAACAGAATAAGAAAGTTGGAAAGGACCTTGGAGGTCTTCTAGTCCAGCCCCTTGCTCAAGCAGGAAACCCTGTACAATTCCAGACAAATGGCTGTCCGATCTTTTCTTACCAAGCCTCCAGTGAGTACCTACAACTTCTGAAGGCAAGCTATTCCACTGATTTATTTTTTCTCACTGTCAGGAAATTTCTCCTTATCCTAGGTTGCTTCTCTCCTTGATTAGTTTTTATCCATTTGCTGCTTCTTCTGCCTTCAGGTGCTTTGGAGAGTAGGTGTCCCCCTCTTCTTTGTGGCAGCCCCTCAAATATTGATGTATTAAATATTGATGTCTGTCACTTAACATGGGACTATTAAAACAATTTTGAATCTGGCGTTGATAAATAATGTATTGAACATTTAATGGGAAAGCACGAAGCCTTACATATTAAAACCATCTTTGAAGAGATAGGCAAATATATTTAAAATTAAATTCTTTTGAGTGAAGCAGATTACAGATTAACAGAATTGGAAGGGACCTTGTAGGTCATCTAGTCTAACCCCCCCCCAGCCACCCAAGCAGACCCTACAGATGACAGTCCAGTCTGTTGAAAGCTTCCAGTGATGAAGCTTTCACAACTTCTGAAGGCAAGCTGTTCCATTGATTGATTGCTCTCAATGTCAGAAAATTCCTCCTTTTTTCCAGGTTGAATCTCTCCTTGTTCAGTTTCCATCCATTGTTCCTTGTCTGGCCTTCGGGTGCTTTGGAAAATAGCGTGACCCCTTCCTTCCTGTGGCAGCCCCTCAAATATTGGAACACTGCTATCATGTCTCCCCTGGTCCTTCTCTTTACTAGACTAGCCAAGCCCAGTTCCTGCAACCGTTCATCGTATGTTTTAGCCTCCAGTCCTCTAATCATCTTGGTTGCTCTTCTCTGCACTCTTTCCAGAATCTCAACATCTTTTTTATAGTCTGATGACCAAAACTAGATGCAGTATTTCTTACTAAGGCTTTATAGAGTGGTATTAGTACCTCACTTGATCTTGATTGTATCACTCTGTTAATGCAATTTAGGATTGCATTGGCTTTTTTGGCTGTTGCCTCACAGTGTTGGCTCATATTTAATTGGTTGTCCGCTAAGTCTCCAAGATCCCTCTCACAGTTACTGCTATTAAGCCTGGTTTCACCCAATCTTTATGTGTAAAGCATTTTTTCCCCAAGATGCTTCTCCTTTGGAGCAGGTTATTTTAATCATTTTGGAAATATTTGGAGCTTGCAGTAGAATTGTTTGGAGCTTGAAATACTTCTAAAGCATTCAAAAGAGCTCTTATGAAATAAATGTTTTGCACGCATGATAATTACTTCATATTCACAGTTTATGCTTTAAGTGGTTTACAGCTGCCGTGTTTTTCACAGCACAGCCATTTATGGAGATCTGCATGAGCAGGTGAAAGAGAGGTGTCTAATGAAAATGACTTATTACTGGTCCCCCGCACTTACAGCAATCACAGTGACCCTTTGGTTACATGATTGTGACTCAGCTGCTGAGCAACTGGCATATATTTAGAATAGTTTGCAAAATTCCAGGGCCACGTGATCACCACTTACAATCTTCCAACTGGCTTCCAAGAAGCAAAATCAGTGGGCAAGCTGGCCAGGAAGTTGCCAAATCACAGTCAGTCAGTGAGTTAATGAACTAAGTGAGTGAGTTAGGACATTTCACCTAGAACTAAGGAGACACTTCCTAACAATGAGAACAATCAACCAATGGAACCGCTTGCCTCCAGAAGTTGTGGATGTTCCATCACTGGAGAGAGGAGGCTGGACAGCCACTTGTCTGGAATGGTATAGGACAGTGGTGGCTAACCCTTTTGGGTTCCTGTGCCAAAAATTGTATGCATGCTTGCACGCTCGCACTTGCGTGCCAGCACCCAGAAGGCAATGTGCCCCCCCCGATGCATGCATGCGCAATCCCCACCCACACCCTGCCTCCCCCTTACCTGCACTGCTCCTCACAGCTGATTTTCCGCTAGTTTGAGGCCTTTCTTGGCCTCCCAGATGCTTCAGGAAGGCTTCTGCAGGCTTTTCAGGCCCAAAACTAGGCCCGTTTCGTCACTTCTGGTACGTCTGAAAAAACAGGAAGTGATGAAACGGGCCTAATTTTTGGCCGCAGAAGCCTGTAGAAGCCTTCCTGAAGCCTCCGGGAGGCCGAAAAAGCCTCAAACCAGCCAAAAATCAGCTGTGAGGCGCACATGCACAGTGAGGTAAATTTGCCTGCAGCTCGCGTGCCAGCACAAATGGCTCTGCATGCCACCTATAGCACACATGCCATAAGTTCTCCATCATGTTTATAGGATCTCCTGCTTGTGCAGCAGGTTGGACTAGAAGACCTCTAAGGTCCCCTCCAATTTTGTTATTGTTTTTCTGTCACACAATGTCTCATTTAATGACTGCAGTGATTCACTTAATGACCACTGCAAAAAAAGGCTGTAAAATCAGATGTGGTCATATGATGTCTCACTTAATGACTGCACTGCTCAACAATAAATTTTCCAGCTGCTGTTGTGCTCACAAGTCACAGACTAGCCATACTTTCCACCTGAAAATGAATGAATGATAACAAAATATGTACTTTTTTTTCAAGAGGCAACTGGACTTTCTGGTTTTTCTTCGAAGACATTTTGCTTCTCCTCCAAGAAGCTTCTTCAGTTCTGAGCACCTTCAAACACCTTTGGGACAACCATGACCTGAATGACTCCATTAGACAGAGAACATCAAATGTGTAGCAAATTAGCTTTTTATTTGCAAGGATGCTTTAAAAAAAACAAAAAAACTATTAGGTATTGTATATTTTATCTGCCTTTCTCTCAATTGAATTTTTGAGTTAAGGTACCAAAAAAATGACAATGAGTGAAGTATATTTTGCACTGCAAAAATATAGAGGCGTTGTCCAGAAAAATGATGAAAAGGTTCTTGATGACTGTTGTCTCATTTGTGTGTTCTTCAATCAGGAGAAGATGTGAGTATTGTGAGCTTTGGAGTCTTCGGTCAGGCCTGTGGACCGTCTGTTACATCGGGGATCCTCTCGGCTGTGATCACCGTGGAAGATAAGCCAGTGATGCTCCAGGCAACCAGTGCGGTTCATGGTGGTTCAAGTGGGGGCGCCCTCTTTGGCACCCACAGTGGGAAACTTCTAGGTAAGGTGGATAGATAAAGAGATGGATTTGCATCCAAACCAATTCTCAACTCTTAACCTAAAATAGGGACATCCAGAGCAGCAGTATAAAGAAAAATCTGTGGTGTTTAATGATTTTACTTTATTTGTCCTTGATCTCACTTTCTGAGGATATTAGCTTAAGTTTCTAGCCTTCAGTTTAAGAAAGGCAAAATTGTTTTCCTTGACACGTCACTGAACTACAGTTCTCAGCAGACACAACCAGAGGCCTCTAGCAACAGGGGTATCAAACTCAATTTCACTGAGGGCCGCATCAGGGCTGTGTTGACCTTGGGGGAGGGTGGGCGTGGCCAACTGGGTGGGTGTGGCCAGATTGACACCACTCCCCAAACTGCTGGTATGTTTCCTCTTCGCATTGGGTAGACCGGGCCGAAGCCACACTGGTCCAATGTTTCCTCTTCACATTGGCTACACTGGGCCGAAGCCATGCGGGCTGGCCCCTTACATTTTCCAGGACGGACTGCAGGCTAGATCCAGCCCATGGGCCTTGTGTTTGATACTCCTGCTCTAGCACAAACAATTTCTCTCTTTAGCTCCTACAAATTATCCAGCTCTTTGAAGGATTCATTTTAACAGTGCAAATCTCCCCAAAGCCTCTCCTCGATTTCATCCCCTTTTAATGTTGCCTTTTTGCACCCTTGTGTGTAGGTCAGGATACTGAATTCCGTGCTTTTTGTCCTCCGTGTTACCTTCGCAGGAATTGTTGCCAGCAACACAAGGGATAACAGTGTTGGTGTGACCTACCCTCACCTAAACTTCAGCATTCCCGTCACGGTCCTGCGGTCAGCCATCTTGGAATATATCCACCACGGAAGCCTGCAAGGTTTTCAAGAACTAGACGGAGTAGGAGAAAGAATTCAGGTTGTCTGGAGGCTCCAAAGAGAACCCGTGGAGATGCCACTCAGCAAACTATGAGACTTCACTGAACGAAGAAGAATAGAAGAATATCGGCTTCGTATATCATAGGTCCAGGCTACTTTTTGAACTTTCTCATCCTGCTAGGATAAGCCTTGTCCCACTTGTACTGGCACAGAGGGCCTACTTTTGATCCCTTCGGTCAAAGAACTCCAACTATTGGGATCTAGAGTGGGTCTCCAACCTTGGCAACTTTAAGACTTGTGGACTTCAACTCCTAGAATTCGTCAGCCAGCTTTGTTGAAGTCCACAAGTCTTAAAGTTGCCAAGGTTGGAGACCCCTGACCTTCTCTGCTGCAGCACCTGCCCTTTGGAATATCTTACCCTCCAAAGTGAGGTCTACCTCCACCCTCTTATCCTTCCCTAAGACTGTGAAGATCTGGCTGGGGCAGTTCCACACACTGGAGGTGGCTGCTTAGATTGATAGCAAACCCCACCTCGACATTTGCTCTCTGTTTCTCTCCCCATCCATCTTTTATTCTCATACCGCTGTACCGTCATTTCCTTTTTCATTCTTTATTCTATTGTTCCATTACTTTGCTTACTGTTACGTTTGCGCTTCTTTTCACTTCTCTGTTTTTATTGTTCTAAGCCATCTAAAATAGCCCCACTTGCAAGATGGGCAACATATACATTTAACAAATAATAAAATACAATGTATCCTGATTGCATTATATGGGTGCTTCTCTTGCTGTTGTAATCAACTGAGTTTATGGAATTGACCCCAAATTAAGGGATTACGAGGTTGTACAAAAAAAGAGAGTTTCATCTGTTTCAGTAGCTTTCTTGGCTAGGCGTTTAGTTTGATTTCAACAATGCCCACTTAGTTTTCCTGCCCTAATCTGCCATTACAAATAGTCCTCAACTTATATCCAACATTGGATTGAAAAATCACTAAATGGTCATGAAGTGAGTTGCACACAATTTTACAACCAGAAAAGTCTTTGTGCTCCCTGAGCTCCCCAAGTGTTCTAGTTTGGGTAATTGGGTAATGAAATATCTGCAAGGAAACAAGCAGGCTCAGAGAGCACCACGGATCCCTCATTTCAATCCCGAGCTACACATATTCCCCTTTACTAATTTTATACAACCTGTCTTGCTGTGATTAAGTGAATCACTGTGGTCATTAAGTGAGTCACACTATCATTAAGCAAATCGAGCTTCCTCTGTTGAGTTTGCAGCCAAGAACCTGGATTTTGGTCATGTGATCGTAGGAAAAGTTATAAATACAAAATTGATTGCAAGTCATTTTTTTTTTGCAGCACCGTTGCAACTTTGAACAGTTGCTAAATGAATGGTCATAAGTCAAGGATTTCCTGTATATCCCTGACAGTGTCTCTCTTGGTCAAGCACCCTGCTTATTCTCTTAGGTCCTGCATTTTTCCATTATGCTTGGAATTCTCTTTTAGAATACCCCATCCTTTACAAATCCTTTTTAAAAGCTCGCTTTTCTATTATCCCATTCCATATACAGCCTGTGCTTTTTACACTTTACTTTCCATTATCTTCCTGAATACAGTGGTACCTTGGTATTCATCATTAATTTCTTTCTGGGAGATGAGATGAATACCAAGAATAATGAGTATTAAACAGAGGTTTCCCATAAGGAATAATATAGTGAGTCACAAGGACACTGACAAGTTCTAGCTTGTGTGTTGAGTACTAAACAAATGATGAGTATCAGGATATAAGTTTTACGTCAAAAAGCGTTGAGTACCAAATTTGATGAGTTTCAAAGCAGTTGAGCACCAAAGTACCACTTCAGTTGAAATTTAGGTTAATTCTTGGAGTAACAATCTCTTCCTTTTTGTTATGGTGCTATGTAAATAAATTATAACAGAGAGCGCTTTATCTTTTGTACTGGTACACTTAGTATCTTTCTCTGACCGCTGTATATTTAACTAATCACCATTTCAAATACTATCCAATTTCTTCTTTGCTTGGTTTGTTGAGTTTTTTTTTTTTTTAAAAAAAAAACTTCAATCATTAGAGATGTATAAAACAGGCCATTTGTCTATCAAATGGAATTGCCCATTTGTTTCATACAATATAAGAGCAGTGTTTCTCAATTTTAGCCACTTTTAAGAGGACTGGACTTCAACTCCCAAAACTCCTCAGCCGGCCTAGCTAGGAGTTTGAAGTCCAGACCTCTTAAAATGGCCAAGGTTGAGAAACACTGATATAAAGCATCTTGGTTTGTTTTGATCATAATGCATAAGTCAGGCTTCCGTGGTTTGTTTCAAAATCTCTGAATTTAGAACTCCTGCCTTAGAATTATGCGTGAATGTAGTTAAACATTCCGCTTCAGTTATGATTTTCTGTTAAGTAATGACTGATGTTGTTTTTGTCCTTGGTCCCCCTATACTCGTTTAACTATAGATGAACACTGCAATTTTTAGAAATCTTAAGGGTTTTTTGGGGGGAATACTTACTTTATTTCCTCTGCCCTATTTCAGCACAATTTAGCACAGGGGTGTCAAAATGGATTTCTTCAAGGACCAGGTCAGCATTGTAGCTCTCCGTAGACGGGTGGGGATCAGGGGAGGAGACGGGACAGACACCTCCTTCAGCATCCTGCTGGCTAAAACGGGGCACTGGGGGGCATACACGCCCCCCCCCCCGGCCTCCCTGGCCCCCTGCAGCACTCTCCCGGCCAAAAACGGGCCACACAGAGGCCCCGCATGACCCATTTTGGCTGCCAGAGGCACCGTGGGCCAGTCCTTTGATATTTCTAGGCCGGCCCCATGGGCCAGATTTAAGTACCCCGTGGGCCGGATGTGGCCCATGGGCCTTGAGTTTGACACCCCTGATTTAACAGGGCCCAGTGAAGTATGGGTTCTTTGTCAAATTTAACTTCTTTAGTTGAAGCAGAATAACCAAAGCAATTGTCATAATTATGAAATAAATAAATAAATGGTCGCCTAGAGGTGAAGACACTCGCCTCTCACTCAGAAGGTTGAGAGTTCACTCCTAGGCGGCAACAGATGTTTCTCTATCAAGGCAGAAAGAGAAAATATCTGCTGCGAACTTCACATAGGCATCAGAGAGGGCATCCGGCCAGTGAATGCTCAGCTCCATTCAGTCATCTTGATCCCACCAGAAGCAAGGGATTACAGGGTCATAAAAAGAAAATAATAATAATGACATATAAATATTGGGAACTGCTTGGCTTGAATAATTTATGTAAACAGGGTATTCTCATTTATCTTATGTTGAATGCCAGCTAAGTGAATCCAGATTTCTAGATTCACTTTTAACTGTACGGTATGTATCACGCTTTGCATTGGGAACGGAGTATGAAATGAGTATGGATATATAGGTTGTGCAGCTAATCCTCGACTTACAACTTCAACTGTGATGAGAATTTCCATTGCTAAGCAAGACAATTGTGAAGTGAGTCGGGCCTGATTTTGCCATGGTTGTAAGCAAATCACTGCGGTTCTTAAGTGAATCATGTGGTCTTTAAGCAAATCCAGTTTCCTGTATTGAGTTTGCTTGTCAGAAGCTGGCTGGGAAGGTTGCAAATGGTGATCACGTGACTTCAGGAGGGTGCAACCCTCATGAATAAATAAAGGTTTCCAAGTGCCTGCATTTTGATCATTTGACTGGGGATGCCGCAAACGATCCTGGTATAAGTGTGAGGTCCAGTACCTTTGTAACTTCAAGCAGTCATTAAATGAACAGTTGTAAGTTTATTACTTTTATTAAAATGTGTGGCTCCATTATGTTACTTGGAAAACAGTTACACATTTTAAAGGGCCCTTGAGTGCAAATTGGCAATCTCAGTCATGGATAAATAAACATTAATCGAAGTTAGAATGAGACCAACCTGATAATTTGTCGTTCCCCTCTGTAACCGAAAGACAAAACACATGAAGATTTGCACACAGATGGCATGAACTTTGTACCAAGCAATGAATAAACAATGTTCATGCATGTTCAAAGGAGTATTTATTTAGGAATCCTATTTAATGCTGCCTTTCTGCTGGGAAGCCAAAGTGCTATGAACCAAATCAAAGGTAAAGAATATAAAAAACTGTATTCTAAATTCTGTACATTGACAATGAAGCAATATAAGATTACACAGATTAAAAGGGACACATTGAACAGTTTTTCAGTAACTGGGTCGTTGCCATTTATTATGGATTACTTTTAGCTGATTTCGTTTAGCGGACATGAAAAGCGCTTGCCTGAAATAAGGCCATTAAGGTGGATTTTATTTATTTTCATAAACTCGTGTAGCTGTCCCTTTTATATGCCATAACTCTGGGCAATTCACAATAACAACAGTACGAATAAATAACAGGCACTAAAAAAAACACATTAAAAAAGGAAGAGACACCTCAAGCAGCATTCCTTAGCAAGGGTAACAATCATCACCGAGTTTCAGCTTCACCCAAATCTTAATATTTAGCAGAAAAACCAACTTTTTAAGGCTTCTGAAAGTCTAGCAGGGCAGAGGGCCTGCTGGAATGTAAGAAGAACCAGACCAGACAAGAAGCACCAACCATATGCATTAATTCTGCTTTATTAAGAGACTCTTGCAAGTTTGAAGATACATGTCTGAAAATACATTTCTCTCTCTCTTTATAACCCTTTATACTGCAGCTCAGGGATCTTCAAACTTGGCAACTTTAAGACTTGTGGACTTCAACTCCCAGAATTCCCCAGCCAGCACACCATAGAGAATTCTGAGAATTGAAGTCCATAAGTCTTAAAGTTGCCAAGTTTGGAGATTTCTGCTATAACTTAAGACAATGGGGAGGAATTTTTTTTTTTTTTTTGAGATGTTTGCCATGCCTCCATTCTTTTTGTGGACTAAACTTCTTATCTAACCTGATCCTCTGGCTACTCCCTGGCTCCCAAGTTCATTCTCACATACCATTACAGGTGTTTTACAAGGCAGGACAGCTCTTGGTAAGGTGGCCAAAAAGGGCTTCTCTGTTCTGACCCAAACCTGGTTCCAAGAAAGTAAACACAAGACAAAGGTAACAGCACAACCTTTTACTGTTTCATTTATGAATCCTGTTTCTTCACAGATAAAAGGCTGCTTCCAACTAATTAGCTCCAACAAGAAAAAGCCTTGCCAAGTTTTTGCAAGGCTGCCAAGAACAACAGATAAATTTCCTAAACAACAAATCAAAGAGTCTCCAAACACCAACTCAGATATTCGAACGTCCACCAGGCTCGAGTATCAAACTTCTTTGCCTTTTGCAAAGAACTTCAGTTTCTCACCTGGCTTTTATCTTCTTGAAAGAGGGGCCATTACCTTGCAGCCTTACTCCCGAGTCGCCCGTGCTGCTGCAGCTGCTCTTTCCTTCGAGCAGCCCTGCGCGCATGCATACTGGGCACAGGCTCCTCGGGGACCTCTTCATCGCTGCTGCCAGCCTCCACAATCTCCAAAGGCAGCGTTCCACTCCCTGATGGTCCTGGCCCCATCCCTGCATCACACACAGGCCTCTCATCTGAGTCCTCGCTCTCCGAGACCTCAGCTGTCCGCATCTGCTGCCGGCGAACCACAACACCTTCAGAAGCGAGACTCCCTCTTCAGTTCTAAGCAGCACAGACAAATCAACTGATAAAAGAGTTCATTTAGTGACGGAAGTTACAACGGCACTGAAAAAAGTGACACTTCCTAATTCTTTGCAGCCTCCCCATGGTCACGTGATCAAAATTCAGACGCTTGACAAACTGACTCATACCTATGATGCTTGCAATGTCCTTTTTTGTGACCTTCTGACAAGCCAAGTCAATGGAGAAGCCCGACTCACTTAACAACCGTGTTACTAATTTAACAACTGCAGGGGTTTACTTAGCAACGGTGGCAAGGAAGGTTGTAAAATGGGCAAAATGACGTAACAGCTGACTTGCTGCATTGTGGTCGTAAATCGTGGATTACCCGTAGTCAAATCTTGGTTGGAAAAGGCTATTTTGCATTCCTTCTTCAGTCCCTAGTAATGACCTAGTTCCTATACAATCCATCGCCCAAATGTGGTTGGTTTAATTTTTGTGAGAAGGCAGCCAATGATGATTTATCCAGTAAAACAACCCCACCCCACCCAAAAAAGTGGAGAAAGTCAGCACGCATCCACCCTCTTAGGGAATGAAATATTTTGTGGAATATTAAAAAGACAGGATAGACTACTTCCCCTAAAGGAGAAATGGGAAATCTTAAGGGAAGCAGAAACCAGCCCCAGTCTCCCTGCCACAAAACAGACACTGAGGAGGGCAGTTTTTAGAAATGCAGATTTGGTAATCCATTCAGAAAGACTGGGTCAGACAGAAACTCCAGATAAGCAAGCAGGCAAGAAAAGATTAGCTCAGGCAAACACCTAGGATTTGCATTTTCCCCTTTTGCCTATAGAGTCAGCCATGACCCCTATATGACCCCATAGGAATCAGAAAAGTTGTAAAAAGCCCACCCACTCTCAACTCCATTTTGTCAGCTGTCCTAGAATCACATGCTATTGGTGGTTCTGCTTGTAAATAAACCAACTTCCTTTCCAATTCAGCCTCCATTT